ACAGCATTGTTTTTTTTCAGTTGTCGTAAATGTTTTATGGCACTTGCAACGCAATAAGGTCATATAAGTGCCGAGGATTAGAGGTGTTACAAGGGAGTAACTAACACAAAAAAGCAGGAGGTGAGATAAAGAAGATAGATGTTGGATAGGAAAGAAGAAGTAAATGCACCAGAGCACCCGCCAACCACCCACAAAAACAGCATTGACACAATATACACAACAAAACAAAAACATGTTTGAACAGTAACAAACAGAAACCATTAAAGATTAAAAGAGCAGCCATTAGGGTCCTCAGAACTCAAAACTAATTCTTTTAGACAAATGAAAAACTGAACACCGTATAATAGACTAATTGGCACAAACGGTCTAAATGCAAAGCTTATGGCATGCAATTGATTGATTGATTGATTGAGTAGATGTTTGAGTAGGCACTATCGACACAATTTTGGTCATTTAAGCGCCAACATGGCAAGCGATGACAGGCCCCTCAGCTCTAAAATGAAAGAACAAGTATAGGGGAGTCAACCTGCACATACATCCCCTGTACTGAAAAGTGGTTAAAGTAAATCCATAGTTGCTTCTTATAAGCCTACTTGTGTGTGCATGTGTGTGCACGTGTGTACGTGTGTGTGTTTGTTTGTGTGTGTGTGTGTGTGTGCGTGTGCGTGTGTGTGTGTGTGTGTGTGTACACTTGGTGGAACACCAAACCAATGTGCCAGGATCTGGACAATAAAGATGTATCTTATCTTATCTTATCTTATATAAATAACCTAATTTCGTTGCAACCTCCCTTCCTTTTGTACAAGACATTGAGAGAAATATTTCTGAAATGAGTGAATAAAGCTGTCTCTTCTTTTTCTCAGAAGATTCTGAAACTTACTCCATCCACTCTGTCTTCAGCAATGACTGTGACCAAGTTACTGAACACAGGTGTGTTCGAATTGACATTTGCAGGATAGATGCGCTGAGTGAAAACTGGGCCGTTGTTATTGCGGGTCACGGTGATACGAAGCCTGGTCTGTCCGGTGTAGGACGGGTACGCAGCATCGTAAGCGTTGACCACCAGCTGAAGAGAGAAAGGCAAAACATTTCATTAATACAGAAATTTGCTAAGAACTTGGAAGTTTGCTAAGAACTTGGAAGTTTGCTAAGAACTTGGAAGTTTGCTAAGAACTTGGAAGTTTGCTAAGAACTTGGAAGTTTGCTAAGAACTTGGAAGTTTGCTAAGAACTTGGAAGTTTGCTTGCTTCAACTCTACAAAAAAAAAAAGCACATCAAGACAATGATCACCATTTGGTTCTCAGAAAGAAAAAAAGAAAGCCTGACACCCAATGTAGTTCAGCTTTCTGCTTGAAATTGGTGTCCCTGAGGAAACCATGGATAGTATTAGTAAGAGTTTTACGGCACTTGCAACACAATAAGGTCGTATAAGTGCCGAAGATTAGAGGTGTTACAAGAGAGTAACAAACACAAAAAAGAAGGATGGGAGATGAGGACGATAGATGTTTGATAGAAAAGATGGAGCAAACCGCACCAGAGCACCCGCCAACCACCCACAAAATCATATATGCAGATTTCAAGGGTACTATGAATGGTCTATATAATGCACAGAGTTCCTTTAGTTTTGAGCCTGGTGTATTCAATCTACAGCTTTGCCCCGGCAACTGGGCCCATCGGCCACTAGAATGACGAGTTTTTTAAATTTTAGTAAGAGTTTTACAGCACTTGCAAAACAATAAGGTCATATAAGTGCTGAAGATTAGAGGTGTTACAAGAAAGAAACACATAAAAGAAGGAGGGGAGATAGAGATGATAGATTTTTTTACGGGAAAGAAGGAGCAAACCACACCAGAGCACAAGCCAACCACCCACTAGAATAAGGAGACCCGAGTTGTTGCTCCTAACCAAAATGCTCTGGAGCTACAGAGACAGGCTTAATAAACCAACAAGTGCAGCAAGGGTACCAAACAACAATCCACAACTTTCGAACCACTCACCGTGTACTGCAACTCCTTGAAGTCGGTTAAGTTGTTCCTGACAGACACCAGTCCAGTCTGTTCATCAATACTGAAGAGGTATGGCGCAAAACCATCTCCAACCACCTCATACCTCAAATTATTCTGTTAAAAAAAAAAAAAAAATATTCCGTTTAGCAAAGAAAAACTTGACAAGATAGGGGGGAAACAAATATTAAAATGTGAGGCAGTGTGGTGGAATCAGGCTCTCGTCAAAATAATCAAAATGAAGAAACCTGCATTTTTCCGCAGGTTTGTGAATTTTTATCAATTTTTTTTTGGCTCAACACCTTTCATGCCCATTAAAGAACTCATTTCTGTGAGGATTTTTCTGAAAAACGTTGATTAAAGGCATAAAAAATGTAAATTTTCAGTTACTAAGGATTCTTAAGCTAAGGAAATAACTAATCTTTGGCGGCCATGAAAATAGGTGAACCCCCACCTCCTTCATTCACAAATATCTCAACTTGTATTCAAGATAAATGCATATTTTTTTCATACTAATAAAGAAAGTTGAACAAGCTTTAACATAATACCAATAACTCGACATGGCCAAAAATTTACGAGAGCCTGATTCCACCGACCACGCTGCCGTGAAGAAGGTTGAAAATGGGGGAAGAAATTAAAACAACACAGATTTAAGTAAGATGAACAATAGATACTTCTACTTCTTATGTCTAATAACCATTACTCAACCAGTAATTAAACTGACAGATGTACAGACAGACAGACCGACAGCCAAAAAAGAATGGCAAAAAAAAAAGATTGGGGGGTACAGAAACTTTAAAGAGTCATGACCAATAAACCGGACCGTTATGATCAACTTACCGGAACGTTTGGATTGTTAGCAGTCAACGTGTAGACAGATTCACCAACTGGTCTGTTTTCTTCCACAGTTGTTGAAAAGCCACCGCTGGAGAAAGTGGGTCGGGCGATACGGGTTATGGTGATGGCCAGTTCCCCGGTGGTCGTCTTTGGTGGATTGCCACTGTCAGTCACTTGAACTTCCAGCTGAAAGAGGATATCATTGTTGTTGTTGTTGCTGTTGTTGTTGTTGTTGCTGTTGTTGTTGTTGCTATTATTGTTGTTGTTGCTGCTGCTGCTGTTGTTGTTGTTGTTGTTGTTGTTGTTGTTATTGTTGTTGTGGCTGCTGTTGTTGCTGTTGTTGTTGTAAAGTGTGTAGGTTATTAGTTAGAAT